CCACACCCAGAGCAGCACAGGAGAATGGGGACCAGGGGTTGTAGTCAGTCCATACCAGTTCCTCTGTGCTGCTCCTTCTTCCTCATGCTGTTCCTCTGCTCCAGCTGGGGTTCCTTGCACAGGGCACCGTCCTTCAGGAACAGGGTACTGCTGCAGCCTGTGGGGAACCCAGGCTGTTCCTGACAAAAAGCCTGCTCCTGAGTAGGCTCCCCTCCATGGGCTGCAGCTTCCTTCTGGGAACCTGCTGCATCATGAGATCCTCCATGGGCTGCAGGGTGGATATCTGCTCCACCATGGCCCTCCATGGACTGCAGTTGGACAACCTGCTTCACCATGGTCTTGACCACAGGCTGCAGGAAAATATCTGCTCCAGTGCCTGGAGCACCTCCTCCCCCTCCTTCACTGACCTTGATGTCTGCAGGGCTGTTTCCCTCACGTTTTGTCACTTCTCACTCACAGCTGCTGGGCAGCATTTTTTTATCCTTTCTTAAATGTGTCATCACAGAGGTGCCACCAGCATCGCTGATGGGTTCAGCTTTGGTCTGCGGCAAGTCCCTTCTGGAGCTAGCTGGAACTGGCTCTGTCTGATCCTGGGGGCAGCTCCTGGTGTCTTCTCACAGAAGCCATCCCTGCATCTCCCCCCACTACCAAAATCTTGCCGTGTAAACCCACCACAGGAGGTAATGCCCTAGTAGTCATATTTGGGGTAGGTGGGCAGTGATTCAAACCCTAATTAAGCATGAGGCGAATAGACGGATAATTCTTTCTTCAGACTTGGTTATTTTTTTGCGTGACATGTATAGATATATTCTTCTCCAAGGCAAATACATACATGGACACAACCTCACTTTTGCTAACTTTTGATGCTCACTGACAGAAAGAGAAGAGCACAAGGGCTTCCTGTGACTTGCCTTGCATATATATTTCGTATGCAGAAGCATTGTTAAAATGGACTCTGATATGAAATACAGTGCTGCTATCGGTGTTGTTCTGATGGCAACCCAAATTCACTTAGAGGCACTACTGAAACTGCTGTAATCTGACCTGAGCATATATTCATAGTCTTGGTCTCTGTAACTCATTCATCCAATAATCTGGGTTAGATGAGGAAATGTAAGAATGGGCATCATTTTCCTATACTTGGTTGTTCTTAACTTGCAGCAAAGCATTTAAGGACTTTATCGAAGAGTAGACGTAAGTGAAAAACCTTTGCATAGCCTTGAAACATGCTGTTCTGAAAATAACCAGGTATAGTGCTGTCTTGCATCTGTTTATAAGTGTGGGCAATATTAGCTTAGTCCAGATGCTGTCAGATAGGTACCGTATTGCTCTCCACACTCCAAGGACTCTATTTACAACATAAACTTTGGACAAGGTGGGTGAGAGTTCTTTGCTTCATTCTTGTGCTTTCTGTAAATGTGTAAGTGGTTGTGTTCTTTATGAGCTCACTAGTCTTGAAACTCCTACAGACCTTGAAGTATGAAATAACATTGTTAATTGGCTGCAGCCTCTGCTAAAAGAGAGGTGTTCACCTTGCGTATCACTGTGTCCTCCTGGTCAGTTATTCTAAGCAGAAAGAAATGCTAAAAGTAGTTGAAGTAGAAAACACAGTGGATCTTGCTGAATAAGGAAACTTCTGGGCAAAAGACACAGAATGAATAGTCATGGAGTTTGCTTTTAAACCTGATCCTGTGATCTCTTAGTCACATGAATAGATGCTTGTTGACTTGCTCCCTAGACAGGCATTTGAGGTTTGAGTCTTTTGTTTTATATCCATAGGAAAACTGTTATTAACAAATGTCCCTATCTGTTTTTGATGCTCTGGCTGGCCATTTTCTTCTAATTCATTTTAAGGGGTGTTTGATAGAAGAGAGCTTCTTGGCAGCTCTCCGATCTTAATAGCTTCTGAGAAAATGCATTGATTGGCCCTTTTGTTTTCAAAAGGTTGCTGTAATTTTCAGTCATTATCTATAAGGAAATCAGTGTAATTTATTAAACCAGCATCATGGATTAAGAATTAAAGACACGACTCTTTATCACTTAAACTGGTATTACGTTGATGTTACCCATGAGGTACTTGAGTAATACAAAGAGCAAGTGGAAAAAGTTCCTATGAACTCTTAAAAAGCAAGCTTCTAGACTTCTTTCATAAGCTCAGAATTGATTCTTGAAAATAAATTTCTACTTTTTTGTTGCTTCTACCAAGAATAAACTGTATGTCTTGGAGTTTGGGTAATGAAAACAGTCCAAAAAATATCATATTAAAAATATCTTCTAAGAATGATCTTATGCCTGAGAAACAGAACACTTAGCTAGCACTCTGTGCACAATGTTTGGGTTGCAAATGTTGTAGGGAAAACAGCTTGCATTTAATCAGAGAAGAAAATTAATCTCTCTAGTCTCTCTACTTTTCAGAAAAGCAGAGTTTAGGCAGCGGCTCCAACTTCCTGTTCCTTTTACAAGCAAGTTAGGTTAGATGCTTTTCAATGATATTGCTTAAGTAGATTTAGTTTGCCTTTAAAACATGTCTTAGAAGCTTTAGAGAATTGAAATTTGATGACTGAGGTATGAAAACAAGGAATAAATTACTTTCAAACATTCCATTGTGGCTTCATAAAATGGAAGACAATAATTATGTTTTATCAGGGTCATCTCATCTTTGTTTATTTTAATTCTCTGAAGTTTTGTTTTAAAGACCCAGTATGAAGTAAATGATTCACATAAACATAACATTTTCATGCAGTTTGACTACTATTACAATGAAAACAAACAAACAAACAAACACTTCACCCCCCACCCCCAAAACCCGAATCGGTGGACTAATGTTCTGGTGAATTCTTCCTCGTCACAGTCTGTTGATCAACTGCTTACTGTAGTAGATTTCTATTGAATATATCAAATAGTGATTTTTCAGGTCTCCACTGTAAGCAGACAGGGCTTTGATCTTATTTTATAAATGGATTTTTTTTGATCCAGTCCCTTACTGATCTCTGGGAATTACATGAGATTGGAGTGATTCTGTGGGATGGCTTTAAACAGGCCAGCTAACACAAAAATCTCTTGATCAGTTTTAGCCAAGGATGGTAGGATAAACCCAGTCCTCAGGGTTTTGGGCACTGCACAGTCTTTCAAACCACCCACTTGTAAATGACTCGTTGCTTCCATTCTGACTGTCTTAAAGATGTGATCTAACCCTGCTACTTGGTGAAGTACAAGCAGTCTGAATTAGGCAAGTGGAATATTGTATCTTTCACTGTAAACTTGGGGTTGGCTTTGTCTTCAGAGTGGAGGGGCTGGGGCATGAATCATTGCAATGGTTTCTACTAGACAACATTTCTCATTCTACTTAGCCTTCAACAAAAACAAAGCCTTTGGTCAAAGCCCATGCTAATAAGTTGTCTGCCACCCTCAGAAACGTATCTTTGATAGAATGGTTGGTTAAAGCTGGAAAAGCTTTGTGCAAGTATCATGACAGTAGTTACTACAATGAACAGAGACGTGTTCTGCCATTCTGAGCTACAAATAGTGGCTGCTTTGGTACTGAATAGTAAAGTAAGATATAGGGAACAAAGTCTGTGATACACAAGGGCACATTTTGTCTGCTAATAATAGGCTCGGGACTGCCATAAATTGTCTATATAAATTATACAACAATACAGATTCTCTTTCTTAAATTTTTCTTCATCTTCCTTGCGGCTGAAAACCTGGCTAAATAACTTCCTATGGCTTTGCAGCAATTCTTGTGCATGCTCTTTGCTGTGGTAAGCATAGTCAGCAAGGGCAGTAAAACAAATGTTTCAGGACACTGATCTAGACTTAGTGCCTCACATAATGGGGTCTCATATAAACTAAAAGGACAGGCATAAACATTTTTTTTGGTCAGTTAATTCCCTGGGATGCTGACAGCTGTTGTTTTGTTATTGCCTATGACTGGCACATTCAGAAACACTGTTTCAGGGCTTCCTCCCTGGGCAAACTCAGGGAGAAACAGTGTAGGAATGCAACGGGATGGCAGTACGTCCTGCTTAACTGTATTCAAAATACTGGGGTGTTGTTTACTGAGAGAGCATGTCTTCGTATTTTTTCTCCTAACAAATGAGACTAGCATTGGTGGTAGTGATGGTGGGGGGAGGTCAATACGGTATTTGGTAGGCCAGAATACCCTGCAGAGGACATTTCCTCTGAATGCTCAGCTACTAAGGTTGGACTGGTCTTTTCCAAAATTGTACAAACATTTCTTAAGTAACCTAAGAGTTGATTTTTATTTTTCTGGAAACACTACTGGGTCATGGGTTAGTACTGTTATTGATGTTTCCTTCCAGAGCTTATGGAGTATAACTGACAAAATTACAGTTTCAAGGAATAATTGAACAAATTGTGTGTATTGTGCATAGCCAAGCTTTTATTCTCATGCCAAAATCAACTGGTATTTGAATGTGACAAGGGAACAAGCCAACAAAGCTAGAATTAAGGGGCTGCTGCTGCTTCTTGGTCGGGGAGCATGGCTGGCATAGCCTGTAGAGGAAGGCACAACTTCTAACTTAAAGGTCTAAAGCTTGCATTTACTTTGGAGCTGCTCTTGAAGATAGCAGAGGCCACAGTATATATCTTACGAGTACAGATAATTCAAATCAAAATATAAGTGGATTATTTTGCTCATATTTTATCAATAAAGACCTGATAGAGGAGTATTTCAGCCCATGGAATGGAGCCATATGCTCATGGGTTTTGCAGAATTAGGACTGAAATGTGAAAATTTGTAAATTGATTCAGAAATATGTATTCTCTTTCCGTGCTGACTTTTGCAAATATTGTCATCAGTCTGCCTTCTACAAGAGAATTAGCTTTCGTTTTAGTGTATTTAAGTGTAAAACTGGAAGTCTGTATTAACAGTCTGGTTATAGAAATAAATGCACTCTCTAACCACTGATACTGTTTGGTTTTGCAGGTCGTCTTCTGAATTTTGGGTCTGAAGGTACACTGTTGCCTTCTCAGCAAATCATGGACATCGTTGGCTTTCTGAAATCTCAATTCATTTGCCACCTTCTGATCTGCTACATATTTATAGTGTCAGGACTGATCATTAACTTCATTCAACTGTTTACTCTTATACTTTGGCCAATCAACAAGCAACTGTTCAGGAGGATCAACTGCAGGCTGGCTTACTGCATTTCAAGCCGTAAGATTTCATTTTGTTTTTTAAAGTATTTTCGTATTTTGTCTTGAGGGAATTGGTAGAAAAGTTCTAAAACAGATTTCAAAGTAACCTTGAAATGAAGGACATTAATGTGGTAATGAAAGGTCATTACTGCATCCTACAGCACTTGCATTTGTGCGAAGAGGTGTATGCTTTGTTGAAATGTCCTGTTCCGCTGAAATGTTTTGCTCTTTTGTATTGGGATAGTTGCTTGACTCAGGATGTTGAGGAATGCCTCTTCTTTGGCTATCAATCATGTTCCATTAAGCCAAATGAGAAATATTGACCAAATAATAGCTGAACTTGCTGAGATGCATTATCTGTAGGCTTACAGTGTTAACAAGTCACTTCCAATAATGCTTTCAATCTTTTTATCATGCATGGTTTTGTTTATGATCTTGGTTTAAGTGTTTCATGTGCAAATACTATTCAGGACTGGGAAATAGCAGTGAAAAAAAGAAAAATTTTTGTTTCCATGTGCTTCTTTCTTACATTAGTTGTAAACTGTTGTTTCTTTGAACAGGCATTTAAGACCTTAAGCTGTATGTGTATGTATTCAGTATACACGTATAGTTGTAATGTAGAATACAGCAGGTAGGCTGTAAGCATTGAAAGAAGCGGGAATTGCAGTTATTTTTATTTTCTGGGGCAGATGGGAGCATAAGCTCAGGATATTACTTGAAGAAAGATCAGACCTTTGTAACTGATGAGACACATGACAATTCACTAACACTTGACTAAACAGGTAATTACAGTGGAATGAATGAGACCTGTACCCATTAATTTCTTCTTTGTTAGTAGGAGGTTGGTAGAATATCCACCCATCAACAATGGATTATCAGAGCACATGTCGTCATCTTGATATTATCAGTCTGCTTATATATTTGTTTTTAAAAAGCTATGACTGCAGTTTCAGCACAGATATATTGCAGTGCAACTTCTGACTTCCACGTAATTGCTCTCAGTTTAGAGCAGACAGCATTCTCCACAGAAGCTGTTAAAAAATACGTTAATGTGCCTGTGTTCAGTAGCTAGGAGTGTGCTGTTAAATGTGTCCAACTTCCAGAGTGATTTCCCTGGGCCTTCTGAAAGTCAGAAGTACTTTCTTAAACTCAGAAGTACTTTCTAAAAATGGAACTGTTGCAAAGTGCATGCCTAAATATTATTCAAGTGTGATGTCACTGTCAATGTCGAGTGAGTTATGGATGGTTTCATACTGAACAGGCCTCCAACACAGTGTTTAAGAACTGTGTTGTAGAAATGCAGCAAAACAGTTTCCTTCAGGTCACCTGTTCTGCAACTAGGAACCAGAAAAGGGAAAGCTTTGTTAGTATTCATAAGAAACTGTTTGAGGGAGAAATCTGCCACATACTTCAAATGGGAGGCCACCACAGATTATTTATCACTCATCAGTGACTCAGATGTGCAACTATTCAAAGCATTTTTCTAAACATACTTTTGACTTAAATTTCAAAGCAGTATCAGCATGTATAGGCCTGAATAATTTGGGGGTGCTGTTTTATTATTTCTGTAATAAAAAGAGGATATGTATGTCCCTGAAGTAGTGAGTTCGCAGGTACTATTCATTTGTATGTATGAACAGTAGTATGAATGTGGCCAGGTTTTTGCCTTTTGCCTGGTAGCATAGTATACATTTGAAGCCATGGAATGTAGAAGATACTGTACAGCTGCATACACGTATATGTAGGTATATTATTATTACTTTTCAAGCAATGCCTTCTGCCCCATTCTTCCTTTTGCCTGCTTAGTGCAGAGACATCAGCTACTCTAGAGTCTCCAGACTGAATCCTTCAGCTGCCCTCAGTCTAGTCTCATCTATACTGGAGGCTGGTCACTGTGTAAGAGCAAATAATACTGCATGCTTGTCCTTGGTTGGGCAGATGGCTTTGTACTCAGGGTTGCTGATCTAGTGTTCAGTGTTGATGCCACTGGAAAAGGTTGCGTTGTGAGATTTTTTGCTCAATCATGCTCAGAACAAACTATCTCTAGGTTAAAGAGAGTTATTTTAGATTTACAGGAGAGCAAGCTAGCATTTGATATGAGTCACCCTTATCTGAGTGATATTTGCAAAGGTGAAAGTTATACTTAATTCGAAAAAGTATTTGGAAGAGCTGAAGAATGCAGTAGACCAATTAATCAAAAAGGATGTGTTTTTGTAGTAGTCTATGTATAAGATAATGCCTTTTGGGGGCAATTGGTGTGCTGACTAATAACTTAAGTTGGATCTGTGTGAGTCTGATGAAAGTCATGGAAACAGCCTACAGTTTGAGACAACGAAGTTTAGCCCTGAAGAATGTAAAAAGGCATGTGCTTTGTGGTGGTAAGTTGAAGTTTAACCCCAGCCAGCAGCTAGGACCACACTGTGCGGTTCTCCCCTATCTCCCCTAGAAAGGTAGGGAGAAGAGGGAGAAAAGGGAAAGGAAAGGAAAAAAACCTTGTGAGATAAAGACAGTTTAATAGAACAATAACAGAAAAAGGAAAATAACAATAATAATGATGATGCTAAAAGAATATACAAGATTAAGTAATACAATATAAGTCACTTTCGCCACCTGGTCAGTTGGTTGCCCAGCCTGCCGCAAGCCATGATGGTGGATTCCTGCCCCCTGGTCAACCCTCATTTATATACTAAGCATGCCATCAGTGCTACGGCACATTCCATTGGCCATCCCATTGTTCTGTCTATGCTCCTCCTCAGCTTCTATGGGAAGCTGAAAAAAAGTCCTTGAATAGTATAAACATCACCTAGCAACCACTAAAGCAATATACATAATTTACATTCTTTTCATACCAAATCTGAAACACAGCAACCCCAAGAAAGAAAATTAACTCTATCCTACCTGAAACCAGGACAGTGAGAAACATCATGTTGCTCTGAGTGGCTGGTAAAGCCTGAGTCACCAAGTCAATTGAAGTGTGAAATAGAGCAGGCATGGCTTAATGTAAGAATGGAATGAAAGCAGCAGCTGCCTTTAGATCTTGCAAGTTTAGTCAGTTTCTACTTGATATCAAAGGCAGAGATAAATGATTCCGTAAAATCAGCAGGGGAGAGCATTAATCTTTGACACTATGCTCTCTGGGAAAGTTCTTTTTGTATTTCAAGTAATGGTGCAGTTTTCTTCTACTCCTTTTCTTCCTATCTCCTTTCTAATATAAGAACATAATATTCTCACTTCTCTATGTGCAATGTCTGCTGTCATACTGTATATGGGAAGCTAAACTGCTATTGTGATTAATGAATTGTTCTCAGTTCAGTAGTTCAGCTTGGTTTGGGGGTCCTTATCTGTTCACATGCATCAAGCCAGACTAGCTCAATTAAAACTATTCGTAGAATCATTTAGGTTGGAAAAGACCCTTATGATCATCGAGTCCAACTGTAAACCTAACATTGCCAAGTCCACCACTAATCCATGTCCCTAAACACCACATCTATACGTCTTTTAAATACCTCCGGGGACGGTGACTTACCCCTTACCTGGGCAGTCTGTCCCATTGCTTAACAATGCTTTTGGTGAATAAATTTTTCCTTATATCCATTTTAAACCTCCCCTGGCACAACTGGAGGCCATTTCCTCTTGTCCTCTTGCCTGTTACTTGGGAGAAGAGACCAACCCCCATCTATCTGCAACCTCCTTTCAGGTTGTAGAAGGTCTCCCTTCAGCCTCCTTTTCTCCAGATGAAACAGCCCCTGTTCCCTCCGCCACTCTTCATAAGACTTGTGCTCTTGTGCTCTTCGCCAGCTTTGTACCATAAAATGGCTGTATGGAGTAGCTGTTGTTTGGTAGCTGAGGACAATGTAGCTGTGTGAGCTGCTACTTCTCTATTGTGAGTATGGCAACAACACTACAGCTTCTCACTGTAACTGCTGACAGACAACCCAGCAGGCTAAAGCCATAGACTTCAAACTTCTCTTCATCAATGCAAGTTAGAGAAGAGGTAGAAACCTGGTTTCCAGTTTGAATTTACAGTGGAAAGGATTCACTAGAGCAACAACTTGCTTTTAATAGAACAGAGCAGGTGTAATGGCACACACCAAGTTACCTTCAATGATTGGTGTTGAGAAATTGTTGCCTTTCTTCAAACCAATTGTGAATCCTGGGTTGGTCAGATAGGGTGAGTTTAGCTTCTCTACTGACCTGCTTCGTTCTGTATTAGCATTGGGGAGAACTTTCTAATGGCAGTGTTGCAAATGAAAAAATACTGGTTCTGGTAAATCACCAATTTTTCCGCCATGAATGAAATTTCAATTGGGTAAATGTTCAGCCATTGTTCAGCTCGAATCTCCTGCTGCCCACAGGGTGTGTTAGCCATTGATGAGATTGCAGTTTGGGTTGCTTTTGGATCTCCAAGATACTTTTCATGTTTTACTGTGAATAAACTCTTCTTGTTTGCTCCCATTGTCCCATTTGACAGATATCTACAAGGCAATGGTTAGTTGTAGTCCTCCTTCCTTTGTATTTCTCAACCATTACTGAAGAGTGTTAGTTGCAGAGAGCGGACATTCAATTTGAAAGAACAGACTTTTGTCTGTGTTGGTCTTGAAATGAGCTAAAAGACTAGTAAGGGTTACACACCCTCTGTTGTGCTTTAAGTTTAAAGAAACAGAACAAAACCCCAAACCGTTGGGCTTCTAACTTTCAGAAAATATCTTCTGCCTTCAAGTATATATTCATTCACTGGTTCAACTGCCTGTTAATCCCCCAGTTGTAGAATGACAACCCTGATAAACTCACCCTAATACTGAACTCCAGAGTGCACATCTAATAAGGAAATTGAACACTGCAAACCTCAATAAGGTAGTAACAATAAAAAATTTAAAAATAAGTGTGCTTGGAAGACGGCATTAGAACAAAGGCTGGGCAAGCAATCAATCTTATTTTTTAGTTTTGAATAATTTAGGGACATCTTATCCTCAGTCTCTTTTTCCAAAAGACTGAGAGCCAAGATATATGCCAAGAAAG